CTCGGTCGGGGCCTGCGGCGACAGCCAAGAGTAAATAATGGAGCCTCCTTCGTAGTCCCGTCGAGCTTGAGCGACAGCCCACCGCGGGAAGCGAGAGAAGGGCGCCGCGCGCTGACCCTACTAGGGGTCCTGGCAGGGAGAGCCGAATCGGATGTACAAATGTCCGACGAGCGTCTGCGACTCTTCCAGGACACACCAGTATCCTTACTCGTTCGGCGACTGCAGGGGGTTAGCGAACGAAAGGTCACTATCGACCCCCCCTGCTGTCGCACGCACGTGTTGGTGGAGCCTCGTTCAGCAAACAGAGGCCCCACCGGACGCCGCCCACTCCTCTCGACGGCTTCGCCCCTGGCGTCCGTCGCAGGGGAACCCCACGCAATGGACTTGCGTTGAAGTCCACCCAGAAACTTTTTTTTTTTTTTTGTTTTTTTTTTACGTGTGGAAATCCCCTCGGACCGTCACCCCGCCGGGGCTCTCGTTCGGCGGGGCGGTGTGTCGGACTCGAACCGACTAAAACCACACGGTGTGCCCTCTTTGCGCTTCCAGTTTAGGAAGGGGTCCAAGGTAGCTATCTCCTTCTGGACCCCTCCCAGCGCCGGCCCGCTCCTGGTGCGGGCTCCGTCTCAGTGGACCCTCTCTTTAGGCGACGTCCGGCACACGCGGACGCCGCCCCCTCGCGGCTGGCCAACTAATGCGGGTGGAGGGGAGAACCCATCCCGTACACCCGCGGCCACACTCAGGCGGCATGAGGCGCAGGGTTAAGCGCGCCTCCTGCCGCCCGGTTCGCCGGCGGCGAATCAGGTCCGAGTGGAGGTCGTCCTCCCGGGCCTTCTCCGCCGCCCTCCTTCTGCGAGATTACCTCCTCGCAGAAGGTTGCGACGCGGCTAAAACAACTGTCGCTACGGCCATGGAGCGAATACGCCGTAGCGAGAGATCTGCGCCGATGACTGCAGTGAGGGCCGGCGCTGCGTCGCCCAGTGCGGGGAAAACCGCCAGCGTGTGTGGGCCGAATCCTCCTGCGTCGCAGTGGTGGCAGGCGGGACTCGATTCCCTCCTAGCGACCCGAGTGAAGGTACTTTCCGAAGCAACCGTGCCCGGAACGCACCTGCGTCAGTCCGAAGGAAGGGTCCCGTGCTGCCGCCCTGCCACTCGGCGATGACCGGCTGAGAGGAGCCTCACGGCGGCGAAACTCCAGCGCGTGGAGGGTCTCCAGCCCGGAACGACCAGTCACCATGGGGCGCTCGGCGAGCGGCTTCGCGCCACTCGCGCACGTCTTCGGCGAGGGCCGAAATCACGCTCTCCGCCCGGAAGTCAGCCACTAGCGATTAAAAACTTCGGCGAGCACTTCGCCTCAAATCCACGGGGTGTCCGGGCCAAGGCACAAGCCGCCTCGGTGACACCGTGCGGGATTCCGAGTATGGCTCTGACCGCCAATATCCTCTGGGGCGCCAGAGGGCCGCCCTATTTCGGGGAGGTCAGAGCCCCACCCACACCGGTGCAAAGTCCCCCAGAACTAACCGAACTAACCAAACTGGCCATCAGGAGGTTCTTAATGACTCGACTGAACCAGTGATGATACGGGAAAGATCTTAAGTGATTACACCCCACTCGTCTGTGTATCAAAAACTATCGCAGGAGGACACGTGTCGAAGAAACTGACGCTGTTTTGGCCTCTTTGGGGTTGCGGGCGGGTAACCTCCATGTGGGCTTCTTCGTTTCTTCCCCCGTTGGACTGTCGGGTCCTCGGGAGCGGAAGCGCGGGACTGGTGTCACCCTGGACAAACGGTTATAGACACTGTCTCTGTCACAGAGCTCTGTATGTTAGCCGATTGACGATAACCCGACAGCCCTTTTCAGGGCTAGCCTGACCCCATTGCACGAGGGGGTCGTGGGATGGCGGGCCTACAAGGCCCGCGGGGGGTGGGGGGGGAATCCGTAGGGATACAACAGCCCTTTTCAGGGCTCGCCGTTCCTACCCAGTATCCCTCTGCATTTTCAGTTGGATACTGGGAGGAACGTTGTAATCCCTTAGGGAATTTAGCCCGACTCAGGGCTAGCTTGACCCCATTGCACGAGGGGGTCGTGGGATGGCGGCCTACAAGGCCCGCGGGGTGGGAATTCGTCAGGGAACAACAGCCCTTTCGGGCTCCCCGTTCCTTCCCAGTATACCTCTGCTTTTCAGGAGGGAATACTGGGAGGAGCGTTGTAATCCCTTAGGGATCTAGGGAAGGGGCGACCCACTGCGCGCGCAGGGGCAGACAGGCACTCGTGCCACCTCGGAGTGGGAGAGTTGGCTTCCATACTGCGTCGCTTAATCTCCGGGTTGATCGACATACAAACCTGGGAGGGCTAGCCACCACTCAGGAACGCCGTGACCTCGTGAGGGACGTGGCTGCCTTCATAGGCCGCGCCTGCGTCAAGGAAAGACTATAACACCCGAAGCTAAGTCGACTAAAAAATATGGATACCGGGGACCTCCATAGTATTTACCCCGCTTTCCCGGAATGAGCGCGTCACACCCACCGGGAGGAAGGAGGGGGAAGTGTATTATTTTCGTCTCATGCTCGTGGATATGTATGGATGTTTCAAATTAATAAAATAAAAATAATACTTTGAGGCTTAGAAGGAGTGGAGACAGGAGATCGAGACGGAGGGACCGCAAGGTCTCGTGTCTCTCTCAGAGAGGTGGTGACGATGGTGGTTGCTCGGAGCGGATGCGACGCTGCCAGCACAACCTGGAGGTTCGCGCTCGTCTTCCCCATGCAAGGGGGGAAGATTCTGGCGCAAGCGAACAAGAATCTGCTAAAGAGTTGGATTCGCGAGCGATGGGCGATTCGCGCAGCGAAAGCCCCTAAGAGGAGTCGCGGGCCGTCCCCGAAAACGGGGGGTATGTCAACTCTGGATTAGGGCCACGGCCGAGCTCAACAGCCGGTCAGACGCGGGAGCTAGAGCTCCGCGCTGAGGGAGAGCTTGCGGAGGAGCTGCGACAACAGCGGCAGAGGGCTCTGTGTCTCCTCCGCTGGCCCCAGCCCAGTCCGCAGCACCACGCGGGATGGGCATCTAGGCCAATCAATCCCTCAGTGCGGAGCAGCTTTCGGGCTCTATCGAGGCGGGCGAGTGACGATGGTTCAAAACCATCGCCACCAAAAGCTCGAATTTTTAAGGGCCAGTACGTGCGGGACTTCAAGAACGCGTGTGCCACTCCATCTGAAGAAGTGGCGCGCGCTCATGTCCCGCGGAATCGGATGAGTGGCCCAGCTGAAGGCCGGAGTGGCTTGCAGTACGGGCTGTGAAATGAGGGCCTTGAAGCCAGCAGCGGAGGCTGCTACCGCCCGCGATGAGCCGCGATGAGATAGGCTTCTCATCGACGCACGACTCGCGGGGGATCGCTCACCGCCTGCTGCCGGAGACCCGCATCCGTCCGCCTCTACAGGGGTAACAGGAGAAACGCGGCACGGTCTGCAGCAGACCTGAGCCCGTACCTGAGGTGTCTCCCTCACGGCCTATCCCCCTCTCTCTCCAACGTCAGAACGGGCAGGAGGAGATAGGGGCCGGCCCCGCGGGCCATCGGGGAAGCAGAAAAAGAAGAGGAAGAAGACGGGGAAGAAGACTGCTGCGGCAAAGGAGGCGGAGGCTGGCCGACAGTCGCGGCAGTCGCCCCCGTCTGCTTCCTCGTCCAATTTATTAGTTGAAGTTGTTTATTATTAACAGTTACCAAGATTTTATCCTACTACGAGTATATTAATTAGAAACAAAATGTTACGTACATGTGGTTGTCTAATCTTCCTCTCTCCCAAAACAAACTGTGCTGCGCCCGACAGGGTCCATAATTGTTGCCGCTTGATTGTTGTCACCTATGTATTCACATTATGGAAGCAATAAAGTTATTGAGTATTGAGTAATGCGCCCCTCTGTGTTCATGGGTGCATTCTTTAGGAGGACAGGCCCTACCATGTGGGCACGAGGCGAGCCCGTTAAAATAGGGCGTCCCTAGCCGAGTCGCGGTTAGCAAACTATCCCGTGGCTCGTCTGTGGGTGGGTAGTCTGGACGGCGAATTTGTCGGCCGTCGTCGCGCCTACAGCCCCAGGGAACTCGAATACTCGAGCTCCCGTCTGGGCGCGGCGCAGCCTGATCCCTGCCGTCCCGAATTCAGTGGCGAGACCAGTTGGCCGGCACCTGGGCCGGCGCCTTGGCCGGCGCCTGGTGATATTTATAATATTTATATTTACTTTCTATAAGTGTTAATATTGCAAGAGGTAGCATCTAGCAATCAATTTAAATTATTTGAAATTCATATTTTTAGATCATTTAACACGTTCGCTGTTGTTACCAGATACTTAGAAGTGGTATCGTACCTTGCGTACCTTGCATTCAGGCGGAGGAGAAAGAGACAAATTCACCGCTCGCTGGTGCGGGAGCTGTATCTTAGGAACTACAAGGGCTAGAAAAGAGACAAATATATTTTTGGGATTGTCTCATAAATTATAACTAGACTAATGTAAAAACTTATACCAAGTCGGTTAGACCTGGATTCAGGATAGATTATTAAAGTTATGTTTTAAGGCTTGAAAAATAGACTGTAATGTCGATCAGAAGTATCTTTATATTCATTTATTGTCTGAAGTCGGTTCAACTTTTAATTTAACTCAGAAGTAAGATACGGACACCAAACATACTTTAAAAACAATTTATTTATGCATTAACGAGTTGTGGAGGAAGGAATTAGGTGAAACGAATGACACACTCAAGGAAGTCTTTTATTAATTCTTTTATTAGTTTATATGTACGTATTACAGTAAGTATGTTATTCTATCATTAATGTCTTATTCAATTATAAGTACAGTGAAGGTGTTCTGTGGAGGAAAAGCTTTCCGAGTTTTAGAAATAACTCAAAAATAATTATATCCACAACGTAAGTATTGGGCTTTTTAAAGGAAAGCAAAACACGTGTTATGTGGTATTGTAACACCTATGAAATACTGAAGTCCTAAAGCAAATGTTAATTGATCGGACGCTCGTAGAAGTATACAGGTATGCTGGCCAACAGGGCCAAGAACGTGAGACAGTGCAAGTGCTTCAGGGGCCAATGAATGGCACCAGCATTCGGGCAAGCTGAGACGAGATCTACCGGCGCAATACACGCTCCCTGGGCCGAAACACGCAGCCACGCCATCCGGTACGGCAGTTGGCTCTGCTCGTATAGGCCCGAGAACATGGAGTGGTGGGGCCCAAGCGCGAACACCGCCACATCGTCTCCCCCGTGCGTTCGGAGTAACGTATGTCTACGTGTTC